TGATAGGCAGGGAGAGGGAAATGACAACAGATTTCACATTCCCTCTTACCAAAATACCCCTGCCATGATCCTACTGCTCCCCATGGATGTTCTGGCCCCAGCAGACTCAGACCTTCCCAGTGACTCCCTTAGGTCGCTGAAGCAGGCTAAGAGAAAATACACACAGGGTGCTCTAAGCCCACTGGACAGAACCCAGGCTCTGACCAGGATGCTGTGAGCTTCCTCCCAGTCAACAGCTCAATAGGCTGACCCACTTCTGCAGGCAGCTGAAGCCTGTAGTCCTGAGTCCCAACCTGGCTGCCCCATGGCATTGCCATGCTACCACCCACCATTCATGAATTCAGCCAACACTGCTCCGAGAGATCTCCAACCTGCAGCTCTCCAGGGCTCCCCTCCAGGTCCAGCTTCCAATCAGAGTCATGCTTCCACAGACACGACTGCCTCTTCTGGGAGTCCCTACCCCATATGCACAGGGCTGGGCCCTGGCGCCTCCTCACACTACAGCTGCCACAGCATCCTCAGGATCTGGAACAAACATGGAGTTGGCCAGGGCTGGAGGGGGCACCTGTTCAATGGTACACCTCTTTTAGGGCAGAGATTTTCAAACCACCTGAATCTCAGAAACCCTCCTCCAAATGAAAGCTTAGGACGTCACCTGGTTTATAAAACTCATAAATAGAAATACTCTAGTTGAAGCAGGTAGAGTCTGAGTGCAGCCTCTACCTTCAGGCTGCCAGCCCCTCCGAGCTGTCTGAGAACTATGGATCTAGGGTACCAGCCTCCTTTAAACCCTTGGTGGAATAAACCCAGTCAACCCAGCTGTCCCAGAATTCTACCACCAAAGTTCTCCTCACAGACTCACTACATCCCCTTGGAAACCCTTCCCCTCCCCCCTTTTTTCAATTCAATGGTACAAGGGCCAATGTCTGACAGCCAGGGCCTGCCTGCACTCCCCAGCCAATTAGCCATCACGCGGGACAATTCCCTGTGTCTCCCTAAACTTGGGCGAAGATACCAAACCATTTTATAAGGACTCTCCCCTGAAAAATCCCAAAAATCAAAGACACTAAAAAAGGGAGTTTATGGAGGTTCTGGACTGTGCAGGGAAAAAAGCCAGGCATGGGGGCTTGGTTGGGTCAATCTAACATTCAATGACCTCCCACCAACTGCTATAGACAGACACGAGCCAAGTACTGCACTTGGGACCTTTTTACACGCAATCCCACACATGTAAACCCTAGGCCCGTCACTCGGTCTTGGTTTATTCCACGAACCCAAAGCCCTTGGAAAGTCATTAAGACTGCAGTGAATTCTGGGGTCTTTGCCCACTACTCTGGGCTCACAGAGCTCAAGTCCCTCTTGCATCTACCAGAAGACATCCCCTTTAAAGGAGTCAGGGAGTAGTCTCCTGCCCTGAAGGCTACCTCCCTAGACTCCAGTGGAGCAGGCTGATAAAGCTGGGGCATATTCCACATGGAGTAATTGTCAGAAAGTACCAGGGAATTTCTTGTACCCTCAATAAATCCCCAACAATTAAAAAAAAAAAAAGTAACAGGGAATCCCTTACATACACAGTATACCAGAGACTCAGGGTGGGCCCCCCCGCCCCCAGAGTGTATGTGGAGTTCTAGCTCCTATGGCTCAGCTTGCCAGGCGAGACTTGCCATGTAGACCACAAAGCTGAAATCCAGTCATCCCTTCCAGAATCCCCAGATAGGCCTGACAAATGGTTCTCTTTGGGCCCCTCACAGTAACCCCTAGGTCCCTCAGTCCCATGAGACCAATTCTGCAGGCACATCTGCAACTGCCAGCACATTAGCTGCTCTCCACCTCCCCCACCCAAAACTCTCTGAGACCCCTTTACCACCATCCCTCACCCCCGCCTCTGGGGAGGCAGGTAAGCCTGCCAAGCCCTCCTGCCTCCCTTCCTCTTGGCAGCAGGACTCTTGGCCTTTCTTCTCTCCTGAAACAGAAAGCTGATGGCTGCTGTCATTCTGTTTGAAGAATCTTCACAGCAGTCCTAGATCCAGAGAGAAAAGGAAGGGTGTGCCCACGCATACACACACACGCACACACACACACACATATATATATACACAGTTAAAAGTAGCCAGCTGTTGGGCTAGAAGAGTCAGACGCACCCAGAGTCTCATTAGTACCCTCCTTTATCTGACCCTCAGTGTAGTGGAGAAGAAACCAACAGTGGGAGGGAGCTTCACACTCTCCTATAGATATTTTCTGGGTTGAGAGACAGTTGCACAGGGCTCTCCTCTGTCTGCTACAGGCTGTGACCAGCAAACAAAGCCAACCCCTTCCTCAGCTCTCCACCAGCTCTGTTCCCCAGGATGCAAGGTCAGGCTAAAGACAGAGACAGAGGCAATTCCAACCCCTGCTGCCAAAACAAGCCAAGGACCTGGGGCCATACCTGTGGGCAGCCTGGTCTATTCACTCTCAGCTGGTGGCCAAGCAAACATGCCTCACAGACATCTTTGGAAGAAGTCCCTTGCTCTCCCTGTTTACTCCTGGTTTCCAGCATCCCAACCCCCACTCTGGGAGAACTGAGCCCAAAGCATAGCTGACAGGCTCCCAGGAGAGGGGGAGGAAGGGGGAAGAGCTTTCATCAAAGAGGTGACGTCAAAACCGGCAACTTGTGAAGCTGTCAGGGGCCGAGAAGTTTGGACAAAGGTGTCTAAAAATAAATCCCTGAAGCCAGGAAAAGGCGTTGGTGGCTGAGTTGCTCGCCACCACACCACAAGCCATGCTCTCTGTTCTGAGGTTTAGAGCCCAATAAGTCTCTTCCCAGGGGGTACTTCTCCAGTTTAGCCCTTGAGGTTGAGAATGACACAGAACTGTAGGCACCATACACTAGCCTTTCCTTAAGTAAAACAGGGGAGAACTCCCATGAGGTGGCACACTGAATAGGTCTGGGGCACTGGTGTCTCCCTTCCTGCCTTCACTGCCAGCCAGCATCCCCACCTCCAGCCCAAACCCATTCCTGGCATGCACACCCGTCTCAGCATCCCTTCTAGCCATCACCTTCAGCTTACAAAGAAAACTCGCCTTCATCCTCCCTGTGCCCCTGCCCTAACATTGTGATAGCTCTGCTGTTTCCAGGTCTTCTCACTCATTTCTTCAATCCTGTCCATGACCACAAAGGCCACAGCTGGTGATCCAGAGCCTCATTTATTCATTACCCAGACATAACACCACACTCTTGTACCCCCTTATCTGGGACCTGTCTGAACTTCCATTTCCATCACCAATTCCCTATTGGTGGGCATATTTTTTCCCCAGGAAAAAATAAGGCAAGGTTCCTCCAAGTCTGCCAAGTTTCCACTCTCTGACTCTACTGTCCTATTTAGTGACCCTAGCCACACTGGCCGCACCCTCTGTACAGCTTATTGCCACAGGCTTTCCATAGCCCACCTGACCCCAAAGAGGGCAGCCTCCCAGATCCAATACTGCCAACAGGCTAATGCTCCCAAACTTATCTACCAGCCCAGCCCTCTCAGAACTCCAGATTCTACATTTGCCACTGCTATTGCCACAGCCCCCACTGGGATGTCTCTCAGGCAGCTCTACTGACATAACCTGCAGAGCTGGCTTCCCCTCCCCCCCCAAATCAGGGCCTCCCTCAGTTCCCCACATCTCAGTGAAAAGAATCACTACATTCTCACCTGAATGCCCAGGCCATAGGGAAGCAGCGCCCTCTGGGATGCCCCCACTTCCTTCCCTCCTTCAATAGGAAATCTACCCCAAAGCTCATCAGTTCCACCCCCAAACAGTAAATCTGTGTTTATCTGCATCCCTGCAGTCACTATCCCAGCCCAAGCTGCCACTACTAATACTGAGATTATTGACAGCCTCCTAAGCACCTCCACCTAGCCCCTGACCTGTGATCCAGTCCTACCCTGCCCAGGGATAGGATAGGACATCTTCTGTAGATGTGGTTCTGACCATGTTACTTTCATAGTTGGAACAATGTAGTGACTTTCCACTGCATTTAGATCAAACCTGTGTTCCTCACCCTTCTCTGCCTAGAGAATTCTTTCCTCCCCTCCAAAGGCTCTTCTAGAACTCTGCCTTGAGGTTACCTCCTCCAAAAGGCTGTCCCTAACCATTCTATACAAGTTGATCTCCTGACTGTTCTCACCCCATTCCTTCCTAGTATGGCCCATTTCTGCTTGACATTCATTATTTATCTTCATCACCTCACTGTGAATGCCTATTTCATGTACCAACATTTCACATTATGCCCATCATAGCAACTGGCACACAGATGCTTAATAAATACAAGTTAAATGAATGAATAAACAATTACTTCCAAGCCCAAACTGAGGTCATTTCCCTAGTATTCAAATTTACAAAACATTTAGAGAAGAAGGGATGTACAACAGGGCAAGTTTTAAAAACCTCTGTAGACACAGAAACCCCTGTCAGACCCCCTGGTGACTAGCTCTCCTTCCTCTAGGCAGGGTGAGCTAGCACTGCTAATGATCACATCAGTAAAAAGACAGGATCTGGCATTGCTGCCCTAGGCTAGAGCTCAGGAAGTAGGTGCATAGACCTATACAGAGTCAGGGCCAGGGGCAACATATGGGTACCTAGGGACATCCCAGTCACTGGGAGACTCAGAGCCTTGCTTTACAGACCTCTGGAAGGCTAAAAAGAGGGTGGGCCTGTCCATCCATCTGAGCCAGGAGTACAGAATGACCACTAAAGATATCTTTGGTTAAAATTAGAGACAAACTGACCAGGCCAGGTTTCTGAACAAGCTCTCCATGCTCCTGGGAGATGCTCTGGCCCCTACAAGGTCTCAGGCATCTGAGACCTCTTCCTTGTTCCTAGCTCTATAGGCATCTGCTCCATGAGGACCCCAGGGTGCTTCTCTCCCCAAACCACTTCTTCCTCCCAACTTGGGAAATCCTGCCCATCTCCTAACCAAAGGACCTGGCTGTTTCCCTACTCACACCCCCCCCCAACAAATGCCCGTGCCTCACCTTGATATAGTTGTCCAAGGCAGGGTGTACACGGCGGGTAGCCAGCCAGATAGACAGGGTGGTGGTGTAGGGGAAGGTAGCTGTCACCACGTGGCTGGGTGCCGGGAATGAGAATACTTTGAAGCCAAATTTCTCATACAGGTGGATGAGCTCAGGGGAGGGTGACTCCTCACCTTCACTCAGGATGCTGCCTACTGCACAACGGCACTTCTCAGGAGGAACCTGGAGAAGCAAAGAGGTGTCAGAGTTAGCAAACAAAGAAAAGTCCCTGCTTCCTGGTCTTTGCCAATTCAGGCCTAGAAGAACCACCAGATCCAAGAGGCCATGTAGCCCCAAATACCAGGATGAGGCTGGCTATTTTCCTACTGGAACCCATCTGTGGCCCCTGCCTCCTGCTGCAAGACCCTCATCCACCCATCATTTACTTCTTCAATTAACACATCATGCCCTGTGCTAGAGACTCTGGGGTCATGGTAAGGGATCAGACTTAGTCTCTGCCCTCCAAAGGCCCAGAAAAGGCAAGAACAGAGAAGACCTCTGAACCATCACCCTCTACAAAGCCCATCAACAGCACCTCTGAGGGAGCCTTTCCACCTCCTGATGGGATCCTCTGTTCAGCCACTACTCCCCAGGACCAGAAGCAGGACTACAGGCTGGCAGATCCTGGAGCCTGGATCTATTAGTTACCGGCCCTATTAGCTCATTTCTCTCCTATCTCCTGGAGAAGAGCAGGCTTCCCTGACAGAGATTTCAAGATAGGTAAGGGAGTAAAACTGAGGAGTAGGAACAAGAAAAAGAACCCAGACCCCTCAGGTCATGGCCTAAGAAATCAAGAGAGTGTGAGTTTACATGTATTTATGGGCTCACAGGGTAAAGAGGCCAGGCCAGGGTAGGGACCCGACATCCAACTGTGGAGGGGCTGCAGGCAGCATTGGTCAGGATATAGGATCATTGACCTCTGGGGTGCTGATGAAATTCTGTGAGGAGATCTTCCTAGTCCCTCAAGTAGGGCCAGTCATCAACACCCCAGACAACTTCTTCAACCCATGCTCCATTCCAGAACTTCCCTACTTTCCAAGTTTTTTCTCGTGATTAAGTCCAAGACTACTGGTTCCCCCCCATCAAGTCTCCCTGAGCCCCTAGTGCCTGCACATCCCACTCTGCTCCCCTCTGACCCTATACTTCTTCTCTAGCTTCCCTTCCCTAGCTCCCCAAAATGCCTGCCAGCCAGGTAGGGCTCTTGTGTGAGCCTCCAACACTTCCTGGGACTGACCCAAGGCCTACGAGGACCAGAATTCATTTCTCTACCTTTTGCTATGTGTTTCCCATGTCAGCTTTCCACATGCCTAAGTCTGGACCAGGCCTCAGACTGGGCCCCCAGGGGTATGTGTTCCTGGATCCAAGAGACTCAGCACAGATCTTATGCTATCAATCCTGGGTTTTGCATGATTTCTCCCCCTACCAAGAATCTGCTGACTCCTAAGTTTAAACAGGTCATTCCTTTTACCTCCCTTTACTCTCCTCCTCAACTTCCATTCCTAGCCCTATGAAGTCATCATATTACCTGTTCTCACCTCTTCCCTTCCACTACAACACCTTCTAAGCCCTGTTAGCAATCCTCTGGGGATTTTTCAGCCCTATCTGCCTCTTCTACTTTGGCCAATCCAACCCGGCCCTGGAGTCATACTTTGCCTGGGACTTGGGCACTTACCCCAGGCTCTCATCTCTAAGCAGACCCTGGGGGTCACCCCCAGCTTACTATGCCACTGGTTCCCTTGTTGCCCCCTTGAATCTTACAGCATCAACTCTGGCTCAGAGTCAGTGGCAAGCAATATGATGCAGTTTTTCAGAACCACAGCTGGAAGCAGGCCAGGGTGTACATCCTGAATCACGTGATCCTGGGAAAAATCCCTTAGCTTTTTGGAGGCCCAGTTCCTTGATATCTACTTATAAAACTGTCATATTAATGAGATACTTCATGAAGACTTAGCCCAGGTCCAGCATTCAGCAAGTGCTCTATAACTGCTGTTGATTAGTAGCAGCTATGAGACAGTCAAAACTGTCCCTCAGCCTATTCTGCCCATCCACTCAAACCTCTGCATATGCAGCTCCTCCCTGCCCATTCAGATTCAAATGCCCTTTTAGGGAACGTTTCAGGGTGGTTCAGAGGCACTCTCTTCTCCTCCAACACCTCCCTCCTAATATTTTGCTGTAAACTCTCTTGCCCATGTGAAGTCCACCTTGCGACACAGTCTCTTCTCTTGGCCTGAAGCTCCTCCCACCCCACCCAGACAAAGGAACAGATTGCTGCAGTACCACCTCTTGTCTCTAGATGGTGCAACAGCCCAACTCATGTGTCAAGAGGAGTATGGCCAGGTAGGCAGGAGGTTCTGGCTGGCTGCTGACTGACCAAGGGTCAGCGCCCGCCACAAGGCCTACCATCATGTCCCAGACTCTAACAACCTATGCAAAAGAAACATCTAGAATAAGTCAGATGGAGAAATGGGTGGAAGGTCACGATCTCTCCCCTCCATCCCTGGCCTTGCCCCAGTTTGGATCCTAGGGTCTTTCCTACAATTACTACAGCAGCCCTCATGAAGCTCTAAGCTCAATACCCTATTCAGTCCCCCAAAGACACCAGAACACATATGATCATCTCCTTAAAACCTCTCAATGACTCCCAGTTCACCTCTAGGATGATATTAAATTCCCAACCCAGTGTGCAAGGCTGTCTTTTAGAGTGGCCCACACAACACTGCCTGGATTTGTCACCTCATACTCGCTTTCTGCTGTTCTAGGCCCCATTAAGGGCCAGAGCCCAGATGGGCAGGCACCCACTAAATATCTGTGTGGCAGAGGGAGGGACAGATCCAGGCTCTGGCCCAGCCTGCCTTCCAGCCTCCTTACCCGCCACACTCCCACACCCACCCACATGGAACTATTTGCAGCTCCCCAAACATACCAGGTCCTCTCATGCTTCCTGCCTTTGCGTAAGCTATTTCCTCTGCCTGAAATGTCCTTCTTCACCCTATTCTAGAGTCCCTTCTGCCTGGGAAACTCCTGCCCATCCTGCAAGACTTAGCTCAAGCCTCCCCCTCAAAACTGTTGCTCCCTGCCAAGCCACTCCTCCTCTCTGATCTCAAGTATCCAGTAAGGGAGGTCTTGTGCTGCACTGTAATCGATGGCCTCCCCGTCTCTCCCCACCACTCCAGGCCCCAAGGCAAAAAGATCCAGGAGCTTGCACATAAAGGAAGTCCTTGGAGCACACTCAGTGATACTACATACATGCAAACACAAGCCCTGCATCCTCTCCCTCCACCTAGAGGAAGAAATAAGCTCTTTTCACAGTGGAAGGAGGCAGCTATTAAGGAAACATGGCTGCTAGGATCCTGGAGGTACAGGGGGCACAGTAGCTCCTTTCCAGCCCTTCCCCTGCCCTGGCCATGGCTAAGGAGCAGCCTAAGAAGACCCTCAGCAAGCCTATCACCCGCTAAGCAGCCCCATGTAAAGCTAGAGCCAGGAAACAGCTGAATCCAGCACCAGGAAGGAGGAGATGAGACAGACTCTAAGATACTCTAACAAGTGGCAAGGCTGGTCCAATAGCAGGGGTAGGCTCTCAGGAAAGCCATGGCCTGACTGCAGGCAAATGGCCTACTGAGGCCTACCCCAGAAAGTAGGGGTTTCCTGAAGGCACAAAACCCCATCCACCTTGGTTCAATGCAACATCTTTTTTTTTTTTTGAGACAGAGTCTTACTATGTCGTCCTCGGTTGAGTGCCGTGGCATCACAGCTCACAGCAACCTCAAGCTCTTGGGCTTAAGGGATTGTCTTGCCTCAGCCTCCCAAGTAGCTGGGACTATAGGCACCCACCACAACACCCAGCTATTTTTTTTTTTTATTGTAGTTGTCATTATTGTTTAGCAGGTCTGAGCCAGGTTCGAACCAACCAGCCCCGGTGTATGTGGCCGGCACCCTTGCCACTGAGCTACAGGCACCAAGCCCAATGCAACATCTTCATTTGGGCCTAAACCTAGAATGTAGACCTCATCCTTCTAGCTCTACCTGCCTGCTTATTTTCCTCTCATTCCAACCATTTATTTCTCTGGACACCTGGGCCCAGCACAAGAACCTGGACCACACCAGAGAACTAGCCCCAGCAAGGAACCACACCAGAGAGACAGGACAATGGCTAGACTCAGTACTACTTTGGGTAAAGGCAAGCTTACCCAGTATCTGTCCTCAAAACAAGAATATCAGGGAAAAGTTAGAGGGATGCTAGGACCCAAACTATCTTTGATGCCTCCTGAGTCCCAGAACTGTGAAAAGAGGAAAGTCTGCTTGAAACCTAAAGCTTCTAGGTATGAGCTAATCCTAAATCTGGCCCCACTACCTCTTCCAGAAAGGTCTCATAGTACTCTGCAGACTCTCTGATGTGAGGCCATAATGAAGAGAGCCACTTCAGGGGCCCTATCTAGCCTAGACCTCATTGAGTCTTGGAAATGGACAAGACTGATATCTTTCAGAATCCAGGAAGGAGAAATGGTTATCAGCTGGCCCAGACCAAACCCAGCCATTGAGTTCAACAGAAAATAGGCAATTCCAGGCCCATAACCTATGCAACCCGACAGGGACAGATGCACCATCTGCCAATTCCAAATCCAAAGGGCTTCACTTATTCCCTCCCATGCCAGCCCACCAAACCCAGAGCTGCCTCAAATAAGGGGAAAAGAAGAGGCAATGCCCTTCATGTGCACTGGCACACCCAGGAAAGCAGAACAGCTGCACCTGCCCATTACCAGAAGCTGGGCACTGGACCTTGTTCACCTTTCTGGGTGCTCCAGGTGAACACACCAAACTCTATGTGTCCAAATCCCCTGAGCAGCCAGGGCCCAAAGGTACACTGCAGCAGGTACCAAAACATGGGCTGATATAGACAGTGAGGCCAGAAGACAGGAACTATACTTAAGGAGTCAGCAAGATGCTAACTTTCAAAGGTGGGTTCAGGGAATTTTTAGAGTTTCCACTTAGAAAGCGTTTCAAGAACCTGGCTCTCTACCCCTCATTCTCAAGCATAATCCTATCAGCTCGTATCTGACAAGGCACTGACTAATTGCCCCTGTCACTGCCTTCCATTAATAAGCTCACAAAATCCAAACATCCCTGTGTAGTAGGTACTATTATCAACCCTGTTCCTAAATAAAGCCCAGAGAACCAAGCCACTCAGTAAAGGTCACAGTAAGGGAATGCTGGAGTCAGTATCTGAACCCAAGCAGACAAGCTCCAGAGCTGTACCATACAATCCAGGGCCACATGGGAGCCCAAGAAATAGGTTCTAGCAAGGAATGGGTACACAACAGCTTCTCCCCGCAGAGCACCTCCTCACATAGCCCAGGCAACCTCTACGAGGCAGGGACCAGGCCAGAGACAACAGGGTTCCTAGCAGTACAAAGTCCCAGTAGCACACCCTGACCTCACCTTACCTCCCCTTCCAAAGGCCTAGAGGTGCTCACCCTTCCCAACCTGTCCCACACAATTTACCGGCTGCAAGGCAAAAGCCTGGACTCTACCTGGCAGAGAATAATCATGAGATAACTGGCATAGGAGAGAGATAGCTGAGGCTCTGAGGAAACATAAACCCAGCCCACATTCCCACTGCTCTTGTGCAGGAGGTCAATCCTGGGAAATCTTACTCCCTTGTCTCCTTTCCTGGACTCCATCTGACCTAAGTGCTTCTGGAGAAGCTGGAGGGCCCCATCCTCACACATATTGAGGGGGAAGGCAGAGTATGACAAAGGCCCAAATCAAAACTCTCACCAGCCTCAGCCCCTGCAGACTTGCTGGCCCCAATTTGATTTTCAGTGGACTATGGGGAAAATGAGACTTTTTTTTTCATGTTAGTTCTGAACATGAAAGGAAAACAAGACTTCAACAGCAGTCTAGCTTACTAAACACACATCTGAAGTGCCACGAATTCCACCTCCCACTCCATGCCTGGGGCAAGCACTCCCTCCTAGGTAGTGGATGTAAGCAGCAAATACAGGTCTGCTTTAGGCAGGTAAACTGAACTGGCTGTCATGCCCCTCTTGCCTAGCCAAGCTCCCCACAAGGGCAAGCAGGCAGGATACCTAAGCCTCAAACCCAACAGTAGAGGTGGGGGTGGCTGCAGAGAGTAAGGTTCACCTCCTGGACAGGAGGTAGGGGGAAAGGCTGGCAGATAGGATGGATCCACTGGCACAATGACAGCAGCCCAGTCACTAGGGCCTGTCCACAGACTAGAGGTGGCTAAGATCAAGCAAAGCACTCAGGGTCCTCTCAGTTCCTTCTTTCACTTCCAACACTGAAGGTTCCCAGAGAGACAAGGCCCAGAAAGGGAGGCTAAAGCCACTTTTCAAACCCCTAGCACTGATCTCAGACTTAGGCTGAGGGCAAAGCAGTTCAGCTATGCAAGGGTTAGGGTACACAGAACATACATGTGAACTGGGATAAGGGGACAGATGTGACAGACATCCACCTACACCTGACCCATCTCTCAATTCAACTCACCTCCCTCCCCCAGGAACCTTAAAGAGGAAATGGACTGTACTCCATGAATGTTGAGCTCTGAGGGGAAAGGGCACCCACTATGAGCCACTGCCAGGGTCTGTCCACTTCCTGACACATGCTCCCTCTTTCCACTCTCCCTACTCCCAACCATGAAAAGGCCTTCAGGGATGGAGAATGAAATGCTTCCTCTTGCTTCACACTTGCCCAGATCTTGCAGCCTCTTCCCACATAGGACTCTAGGACATATGGCTAATAGCTTAATCAGCATCTAATATGAAAGGGTCCATAGTAACTGCCACTATTCTGCTGGGTAATACCATTTCTTGTGCCACTTCCTGTGCCCACATTCAGACTCCCCAATGCTCAGCTAAAGTCAGGAAGGGGTGCGGCTAGGGAGCTGTCAGTCTACACCTCATGGATGCAGGCAGCATCCAGAGCCAGGTGGCACTTCTAACCTGGTTACTCACTGTCCCACTTGTAGGAGCAGATTCCTGCTCCTCTTATGCCTGGAGCAGTGGGGCTGGGGCAGACAACAGATGAGCCTATATCCTATCTAACTCTGAGAACTGGAACATGTAGGACCCCAAGATGAACACTGCTGATGAAGGCAGCCAAGGGAGCAGAAAGCTTGAGTTCTCAGCCTACCTCAGGACAAGGATGAGGATGGTACCCCAGGCCCAGCACAGAGCCTGACACAGATAAGGTACTCAAATATTGTTGAATGAAAACAAAAAGTGTGATTATCAGTGTATCACTCCTGCTTTCTGAACATTAGTCTCCCCCTCTATAATATCAAGAATGTGGACCAGGAGGCCTCAGGTCCTTACAGACCAGGCAGTCCGGGATAACCATGAGTCCCTAAAGCCTTAGGGTCCATGGTCCCCTGAATCTATTAGAATCTCTGCCAGGCAAAGAATGCACAGCCTCACTCCCAGAGCAGGGGGGGACCCACATGTCCCTGAGCCATCCCAGGTGCCAGTGGTGTGACCTACCACTAAATGAAGACACAGGTATATTCTGGGAGGACCCAGGACTGGGAGGGGAAGGATCAGAGGGGCCACCTGGACTTGTTCAGTGATCTTCTATGCCAGCCAGATGTCCACAGTCAGACCAAAGGTTTAAGCCTCCTCATCCTGACCCTCAGCACATGCTGGTATAACATGAGTGTTTTTTTCCCCACCCTTTTCTTTGTTGAGGGCTACAGGCTGGTGTGAACTGCCTCACCAATACTGTTTAAGCCTTGACAGCCTACCTATGAAGCAGCTATTTTATTACTACTCTGCAGATGAAGAAATAGAGACTTAGAAAGGTTATGTGGGAGGAAGGTGCAGTGGTTCACCCCTATAATCCTGACCCTTTAGGAGGCCAAGGTAGGTAAATTGCTTGAGCTCAGGAGTTCTGAGACCAGCCTGAGCAAGAGTAAAACCCCACCTGTACTAAAAATAGAAAAACCTGAGGCAACAGTACTGCTGGAGTCCAAGAGTTGGAAGCTACTGTGAACTATAATGAAACCATGGCACTCTACCCAGAGTGACAGCATGAGACTCTCTCTCAAAAAAAAAAAAAAAGAAAAAAAAGTTATGTGACATGTGTAAGATTACACAGCAAGACAATGATGGGACAGGAACAGACCCTGGGACTGCTAGGAGTATGGCTGTATTCTCTAGTCATGGACCCCAGACCAGCACTCAAGTCACACCATGTCCAGGCAGCCCTGGACACCCAGAGCCACCCCACAGGGTCCACCACAACTCTTGTAAAGCTACGTGGTGGGCTTCCTGAGAGCAGAGGGCTAGGCTAGGAGGCCACAGGGAGAGTACCCCATGCTGGGGTTCTTCTAGCTCACCCTTCCCTGGACCTGCCTCCAGCACTAACCCTAGGATACCCTGCTGCCTTGGCCCTTTCCTATCCTAGAATTAGCACCTCTAACCCAAGAAGCAATGTGTTGATTCCAAAACAGGCAGACATGCTGATGAGGAAAGAGGCAGCCACAAGGACTCTCCGCCCTCCCACTAGGGCCTTGCACGGGGCTCCACCTGGGCCAGGTGTGGAAGGAGGGGCAGGGATCAGAGGCCAGCATAGGACGAGGAGGGACTTACACAACAGACCCTTGCAGGGGTGGTGGTTAGGCATCTGGTCTAGGAGAACTCCCACAGCCTGATACCTCCCCATCCCACTCATGCCCCAGTGCTCCCAACTTCAGTTAGTGCCATCTCCCAGTCATGTGACCTCAAAACCTCAGACATTGTCTAATCATCCCTCAAGCAGCCCACGTCACCTCTCAGCTGACTGGGCCCAGCCCAGTTTCTTCAATGGCCTCCCTTCTTCATCTCCTTCCCTCATCCACCTGTCCTCCAGTTAGCTTCCTAAAACAAAGGTGGCAAATTGTGCCAGACTCCTTCTCTCAAACTGCTATACCTCCCTACCTGGCTCAGCAAACCCTTCCACCTTTATCAACCCACCACATGTCCACTGGCCACACTTCTATTGTCACCAGATAGTGGGCGGGCTGTAGGGCTTGTACACTTGAACTGTGCAGGCAAGGATATCAGAGCTGGGGATTCCAAATGCTTGGTTTGGCATAGCTTGGTAGTAAGAGGCTGAAGAACCCTTGACAAACTGCCAGCCCATCCAGCTGTGGGCAGCAGCACCACCCCATAGCATGACAAGAGACTATATTAGCAAGCCTTGACTCATCAGACGCTGCAACTACAGCCTGACACCCACAGAATGTTAGTGATGCAGAGTTAGTCTCTGACTCCAGCACTATGGACATTCTCAGAAGCTGATCTGGATCCATGTGCCCCCTGCCCCGCCCCAGGCCCTCTCCCAACCAGGCAGCCTGAGGTCTAAGGAAATGCCATCACTGGGTAGGAGCCCACCAGAATGGCTGAAGAGATATGATCCTAAGCCCTATGCCAAGGGTTTGTCCTTTTAGCTCCTGAAGGCCTACATCTCATGGCAGGACAGCTGAGGCAAGGAAAGCACAGAAACAAGATGTAACCTCAGAGGGGGCAGAATCTGAATGGCCTGGTCTTAGAGTGATGGCCTTGAACGGAGACAACAGGAGGAACAGCAAGAAGAGGAGGCAGGAGACCAAAATTCTAGCAGAAGCTAGGGATTCATAGTGGTGTGCTCCTAAGTAGCCATGAGTAAGAGGAACCAGGTCTGAGCAAGTAGAAAGCCAATAGATGCATGGAACAAATGCCCGGGCTAAATGTGGAAGGGGTTTCAAGCTCACAGTGAAGGGGTCTGCAGGGCCATCTCAAAGATTTTCCCACTCTCTCCTCAGAAACCAAATCTCCCTCCCCCCAAAAGCCCTGGCCTAGCTCCATCCATGGGGTGGAACTCCAGGGAGGTTTCTTACCATGTGAGGATTGTCATAGTAAACAGCAATGGAGCGGAGCTTGGGGGAGATGCTGCAGCTCTCAGTGAAAAGCCGTCCAGTCTCACCATACGGCCCCAGGTGGAACTTGTAGGCCACAGTAACATTGCGGATGGGAGGTGAACCAGCACTCACTGCCACCCCAGCCAGCAGCCCTGAGTACCCAGCAAAGGCCAGCAGTGTCAGCAGCAGTAACAGAGTCAGGCCTGCTATCAGGCCCAGGAGTAGCAGGTCCGACATGGCTCTGGGCCTCCCACACCCCAAGGCAGCTGCAAAGGAGAAAGAAGGGAGAGGAGGCTAGTAGCCAACTCTGACCAATGTGCCCACCTGCCCGCCAACCAGTTCTGGCCCAACGTCAGCCCTGCCTTGGGTGCTGTGACCCAGGAGGGGGAGGGGCCAGAGGTGTTTACACACAGAGTGACCTAGAAGGGAGCTACAAAGGATGACTGAAGCCACAAACCTCTTTATTTCTTAATCACAGTTGAAGAAGCCCGGGGAACAGCTCTACCTGTCAGATGGCAGCTCTAGTCACACCTGGGGAAACTGAGTCATAAGGGGGCTCAGGAGGGAATCAGCCAGGGACACACTCCTGGTCCTGACTAGTCTCTCCCCCAAGATGGACCAGAGAGCAACCGGTTTGCTTTCTCCCCACATTGCCGCTTCCTTCTCAGGGCTGACCTACAATGCCAGCCAAGCCTAGCCTCTCCAAGCCTCGTGGACTACCTACTGCCAGAGGGAGGATAAGCAAACACCAAAATCCAAACACTTATTAACAAACAGGAAAACCAAGAGGAGCAAAATCCCAGGGGGAAATATGCCTCAGGGAGAGAATTTCAAAGAAACTTCTCCTTTGCTAAGTATATCTCACCTGCAGGGACCTTGCTATCCAGCAAGCTCACCCATCCAGAACCAGAACAGAGACTGAGCCAAACAGCCTAAGAAGCTAGAATAAAGTCCAGCACTAAACTTCTCAGACTTGAACCAATAATATTAACAAGATTCATCCCACTTTTCTAGTCCATAGAAGACTAGAAACATCAAGAAGAAGGAAAAGGCTGCTAGAAGTGGAAACACACAACAGGGAGAATTAAAAGTTACCCATAAGAAGAGAAGCTACACAAGAGCAGGCCCAGGAACACAAAAGAGGCTAGTTAGTATGTGACCACCTAGGTGTTTAGGTAACTGAGGGCCAGAGGCCTAACTCCCTTACAGAAGGCTTGATCTGAGTTGCCCAGGGGGAAAAAAAAATCACAGCCCAGAGGAGATTTTTTAAAGAGAAAGGGAAGCACACAGCCCATTGGGGGAGGCATTCCCACTCCAACTGTTTACAATTAATATTTAAAAAGTTTTGAAGCTGAAAAGGCAATGCTGCAACCCTGTGGAAAACTTAGCTCTGTGGAATTATTTGTTCCCTATGGGTTCTGGGGGTTAAGATTTTATGCTGAGAAACTGCCACTGGAGTCAATGTACACACAGGGCTTGCCTGACTAAGAGGCCAAAAAATTTCTAAACCTTTACTGCAGGAATGGCAAGATGTCTCCCACTGGTCTTCTCACCCATATGTGCTCCTACTCATCAGTATCATGATCTTTTCTGCATGTTTTCCCTGTCCTATTCATCTTGGCTCAATCTTGTTTTCTTTGATGAGAGTGATGCTGATATATCTTCCACTGAGTGCTTATTACATGATAGTGTATAAATGCTGTAACACAGTTACTTCATTAATCCTTAAAACAATCCAACAAGGTAGGTATGGATCAGTACACAAGTGATTGGAGGTTAAGAGACTTGTCCAATGTCCAACGGTTATTAAACAGAGCCACGGGAAACACAGGCAAAGGGAATGCAAGCTCCCATTTCAACTGTCTCTTTCCTCCCCCATATCTGGCTTCCAGAAAGGCCCAAGCATTTAATCCATGCTAGACATCTCTGAACCCTTGGCTCGACAGAAAACTCAACATACAGGCTACCACTTGCCTCGGGAATGACAAGCCCTCACTCTGACCTACGTCTCAGGGGCACACTTCCTGTCCTCTCAACGGAATTTAATTCCCACTTTTCTTTCACCTCCAAAATGCTCAGAAAAGGGGAAAAAAATTCCCCTACAGGCCCCAGCAGGCGTGTCCAACCTTTTGGTTTCTGTTTCACAATGAAAGAAGTCCTGGGCCACACATCAAACACACAATAAAAAAAAAGCTGATGAGCAAAAAAAGAAAAAAAGTTTGTGCATAATTTTCGTGATATCCACCCCCACAGATAAACAAAAAGTCCTCACATAATCCCTATCACAGGTTGGACATTCCTGCAGGGGAGGGGGGGGCACGTTGAGTACATTTTTCAGGACGGAGAAGGGCTGGGGCAGCCTCACCTGAAAAGCCAGGCTCATATTTAGGAACTCATGGCATTCAGTGTGGCAGGGGCCAAGCATCCCCTTGCCCAAAGCTGAAAGGAAGCCACTCTAGCCTAGGAAATAACCCCTGAGGCAACACCAAGTCCCAACCACCCCCTTTTCAGGGATTGTCCACCAGGGTTTCAATAGGCATCTCCACCCCATTCTCAGAATCCTTGAGGAAATCAGAAGCCAAACCCTGCCTCATAATTTCAGGGCTCTTCACTAGGGTTCTGATCATGCCCCTCTTTCTGGAGGATTCCAGCCACCACACCTGATGCTGAAACAGCCCTCGCCGCCAACCACGGGCAGGCTGTGCCAGCTCTCAGGCCTTCGTTTCGTTTCCCCTTCAGTCAGAGGCCCGGTAGGGACGCCGGCGGCCGAGTGCAACTTCCTGGTGCCGCTCACGTGTGCGGTGGCGAAGGGCCCAGCCCTTAAAGCGCCCCGCGGCGAGCAAAACTTGGGGCTCGCGCTGCCGGGGAGCGGGAAGACCTCGACTGCTAGGGGCCTGCGCGGGGAGGAGGAGGCTTCACCTCTTCACCACGAACCTCGCCTCTTTACTCAGCTTTCTCTTTAGCCACGACCTCCCAGAAACCCACGCACCGCTGTAACTTAAGGGACGCTTAAAGTTTGCAGCTGGGGCTACGAGGCGCGGCCTTGGGGAACCGAGGCAGAGTTAAAACGCGATTCCAGACTGCCGTGGCGCGTGCCCTACACTGGCAGCCTGAACAGTGGGCCACCCAGCATGGTAGGGGCTGACTCAAGGTCGCGTCCTGGCCCGGGCCAACTGTGGGAGAAACGAGGTGCAAAGAACGGCTCACGGAGGGGACGCAGAGAGGTCAGAGGCCGCGCCAGAGCGAACGGGAGTAGAGGAGGTCCCAGGTCCACGCCCCGGTGAGGACGCCTCCCTTCTGGCCCAGCCCTCACCTCAGCAGCCGCCCGCCGCGGATCGGCGGCTCGGGCCAGGTCTCGGGGCCCGTCCGCCCTAGCCGCGCACGCTCGCTCCGCCCCCTCTCGCGGCGGGACGTGGCCGTGACAGTGGGCGCGTGCGCGCGGGGCTCGTAGGGTGGAAGCCTGCCTCCTCCCCATCTCCCCTTGCAAGGGGTGTGTGCCCTATCCTGTAACTGGCTGGGACAGGACCCAACACGTACCTTCCCGCCTTCAACAAACTACCGGGTTGCTCAGGGTGACTTAGCAACACCCTAAAGCATTTGGATTGGCAGGAACTCCCCAGTGACAGCCCAGCCCCAGGTACTGGAGAGAAGTTAACCCGGTGGCCTGCAGTAGAGACCCTGGCCCGGGTCCACGAGAAGTCGGGACTAAGGGAGAGTTTGTACAGGGACGCACAGCAGTATCAGCCTTGGGCATTTGTACCACCCTTAGCCCTGCTACTCTTTCTTACTGAAACTTCGCAACAGAACTGGGAACCAAGGCAGACAGCCACTTGTTCGCATTTTACAGCTGAGGAAGCTGAAGCCCCATCTGGGCTCAGGGAAGAAACTGGTGGATTCTACCTCTGGCCGCTTCCTGCCTGCACCCTGCCCTTCTTTCCTAAACGCAGGGATTATCATTCATCCATCCAACATTTACTGAGTACCACTTTCTGCCAGGATAGTTCTAGGGGCTGGAGGATATTGAGAAAAAAAAAGAAAAAAAATCAAGACCCCGGTCTCCTTGAGCTCAAGTTCCTTGAGCATGTCCCCTTCCGACTCCTCCCCCAGTGCCCTGGCTGTGGCTGGGGGAGGCTGGTCTACAGTGCCATGGCCTCAGCCTAGGTCATAGCAACTTCAGATTCCTGGGCTAAAGTAATCCTTCTGAGTAGCTGGGACTACAAGCAGGCCGGGCCACTCTGCCCAGCTAATTTTTCTATTTTTAGTAGAGACAGGGTCTCCTCTTGCCTTCGCTGGTCTCAAACTCCTGAGCTCCTGAGCTCCTCCCACCTCAACCTCTTGGAGCGCTAGGATTACAGGCAGGAGCCAACACACCTGGCCTGGTCTACCCTTCTAGTTTAGTGATAAACTAGGTTAACTCCTAGGTCAAGTGTAAGATCCTTGATGATCAGTTCCATCTTCAGCTCTTATTTCCGAGGACCTGAAAACTATAAAGCACTCTAGCCTCCAGACTCTTTGGTGGAGGAGGTGGGGAAGGTAATAACTATGCTCAGAAACTTAGCTAAAAGAAGGCTGCTCTGAGAGCCATCTTGGTGCTGATAGGGCCCAGCACAAAGGCACCCCCAAAGAGAAATGAACACAAAGGTCCACTGAACACAGCCGAGTGCACAGTCCCACCCAGAAAGGGATGAGTGCATCAACCCAGGTACCCCTGACCCTTATATTCCCATCCCCCCTTGCCCCTCACACTGACTTCCTTTCCAAACTCAGCCCACTCACACCTAAGTGAATATACAGCCACGCTGCCCACACAGAACCTAGACTCCATTTCCTTTTGTTCACATCTCAGAATAACCTCTCAGGTGCTCCAGACAAGGATTGGTATTTGGGAGGGTGATCACTGTGATGGAAACACCAGGAAGGTGAAGGAGAAAAAAGTCAGCAGTCATGGGGTAGTACATCTTATGGATCCAACTATTGCACTAGCAAAGAGCAGGTTGGGCAGAAGCAGTCATAATCCTGGCTTCCTTGCCCTCTGCTCCACATTCTTCCTTCCACAGGTAAGGAAGATTGAATCTTGTCCACAAGGTCAAGCCTTTCCCAGCCCTCAAGGCAGATTGGCAGAATAGGCAGAAAGGCCCACAGGTACTCAGGAATGGGTGCGGGTTATGGCAGTTGTTTGACCTATGAATATCAGGCACATAATCAAACTCTTTAGGTGCCCCAAGCAGTGGGCTACACACTTGAAAGGATTTCCTGTGACACAAGG